ACAAGCTGGGAACTAATTTATCAACCTTGGAAGGATGACAGGCTGAGTCAACCTTGAGCCCCTGGCTGGTATTGAACTCACTACCTTGTGGTTTTTGTGAGTGAGTGGCTGCAGTACAGGCATTTAACCACTGTGCCATCAGGGTAATGACATGACTTCTCCCAGCCCACCCTAAAGAAAGCTGGAGATGTGAGGAGCAAGTGAAGTTTGGATTTTGTCTGTGTACAAAAGAGTTGATGCAGGACCAAATTCCAGGTCAAAGCATTTGCTCAGAGCCACCCTGACACTTGTGTTGCTGCCCTTCATCCCACCAGTGAGCTCCGGATGGTAGATGGTGGGGTTCTCATTAATCAAGTAGACCCTGCAAGCCTGAAGCCTGTCTAGTACTATAAGAGATCAGCCACCACTACAAAAAATTACGCATTTTAAATTAGAAAGGAAAGTCAAATATTTAGGAATATGGATATCAAAAAAGAATATTGATGTATTTGACAATAACTACAATGCAACATAGAAGAACATTAAAAAAAGAAATGGAAAAATGGATAAAATTAAAATTGTCAGTTTCAGGAAGAGTCACCACAATAAAAATGCCTAAACAGGATTCCCTCCCAATTTGCAGCTTTGGAACTCGTGGTTTTGATCATTCATGAGGCCAAGGCTGCCACTCTTCCCTGCTGCCCTGTAGCTAGCCCAATTGAGCTGGCTATGGGGTGGCAGGGAAGAGTTTGACGCAAGCGCCAGCATGCTTGCCTTAACCTCTTTGCTCCCACCCCGTAGCCAGCTCAATTGGGCCAGCTATGGGGTGACATGGAGGGGGTGGAGTTATTCGTGATTTTTTTGGATTTGTGAGGGTCCTCCACCCCTAACCCCTGCAAATCCAGAGGGATTACTGTATTCTCTAAGTATAATTTTCTGTTTACCAATTTACCAATCATTGTGAACAAAAAAACCTTTTAATATGTGGAATATAGAATTTAAAAAGTTTCATTGGGAAGGAAAAAACCCATGTAAGGTGGAAGACATTGATAGATTTTAGATGCAATGGTGGATACGACCTTCCTGATTTAGAGAAATCTCATCAGCAAACACTCTTTTATATGCTGCAGACTGGATTAAATAAAAATAAAAATAAAATAAATGCTGAATTTAGAGGGATTTAATCTCCACTTTGGTTGGCACGCTTACGTGTGGTATAGAAAATCAAATGTTCACAAAGATTTCACTCACCATTTCATCCACAAAGCTTTATTGAAAACATGGGAAGAGATCAAATATTTATTTTATAGAGAAATGCCAAGGTGGGTCTCCTTGCAGGAAGCTTTCTTCGGAAGAAGCGTGAAAGGTAATGATTGGCTGAGATAGAAAGATATCATTAGGAAAAACACTCAGAATCAATAGGGACTAAAATCAATATAAGAAATAGAAAATTTAGATATCAAACATTATGTTCCTGCTAAAGCAATTACAAGATAGATTCAAAAAAGACCTAAAGGAGGAAGGCTACACAACCAAACAAAATGAATTGAGCAAAATACTAGAAGACAGCAAAATAAATAAATAAATAAATAAAAATCTAAACTGTATAAAGTATTAATAGAAAGAAAATTAGAACAAAATGGCATAAAACATTTTATGATCCTATAGACTCAAGATATAGGAAAACCTTTGGAATTACAAAGCTGGCATTTAGCGAGATCAAGAACTTTTTGAAAAACAAAATGGCGGCTGCAACTCGCTCACGCATGTGCAGTACTCGGTGTGCAGTATGCATGTGCAGTACTCGGTGCATGTGCAAATGACTCGCGGCCACCATTTTGGAAAACAAAATGGCAGCCGCGACGCACATGGTGGCGGCGGGGGGCGGCAGCAGGACTGACCTGGGGCCAGTCCAAAGGCCTTGGGGAACCATAGGTTGCCGGCCCCTGGTTTACACCAACTGGAGGAATGCATGGAAGTCTGTTCAGAAGACAGAATAGAAGATAGAAGATAGAAGATAGAAGAAAAAGAATAGTAATAAATGGCTTAATATCTTTAATAGTGTTATTTTACTGAACAGACACAGTAAAGTGTTAATTTTTCTATTCCCTATGAATATTTATTAAGCTGTAATATTAATTATGTAAAGCCACTGCATTGACAAGCATGTATTATTAAAATATGCTTTTTATTGCAATAAAAATAAAGTACAAAAATAATAATATGAGATCAGCCACCTAACCTGAAACTCTTATACTGAAGCTCTTATCCCATGTCAGGTCATCTTTATCATATGGGTGTTGTGGTGCAGAACAACCATTGTGGGGAGTACCGAATAAGGAACGTGCCTGCCACTGAAGCCAGTTGCCCCTCGCTGGAAACGGGGTGAGAAAGCCACTGTATGGATTCCAGAGCCTATGCCACAACAATGACATATGTTATTCCAAGGTCTCCTTCCTCCGCACCCCCTTTTTTGATATCAGTTTGATATTAAAGGGATGTTTTAGGCAAGTAGCCAAGAGAGCACTAAGTGCAGGAATCCAACCTTGCCATATAAGGATCATATTTGGAGATCTCTTGTTGGCTCAGCATGGGGAAGTAAGGGCACTTAGCCAGGATAGATCAACTAAGATCAGAATCTGCATGATCCCTTTACTGATAGGACTAATGGTGGGTAATAGAGCTTGGATTTACACATGAACAGAAGTCCAAGATTACCACCCTAAGGGAGTGATATTCCTTTGTTCAGGGACACAATTATTGCCAAGCCATTTACAGACTTCCAGTTCTATTCTTCCCTCCTGGGAACTTCACCTTAATCCCAAAATTGCCCCAGGATACATTTTGTCCTATATACCTATATACCTATATTCAATATCTTGCTTTACTCCTCAGCATTTGTTGGCAGCTGTTGAATCATTCACATCACAGATTCCTCTGAATGGAAACTTAACTTCTGGAACTGATACAGTATTACGTTCTGCAATCCTTAAAGTCGCTATCTGCTATCATCTTTTATATTGTTAGTTCTTGTGTGTGTGTGTGTGTGTGTGTGTGTGAGTGTGTTTTTGAATGAGTGGTGATTCCCCTTTACAAATAAAACCACACTCGGACCTTGCATTCTGGAGTTCTGTTTCTCGGAACTGGTATACACAGGCTTGATCCCTGCTTTGAGTTGCCCAAGCTCCCTCAGCAGCTGTAATTAAACTAATAAAATCCCCCTATTAAATATTGATTGTGGGTGTCCACTCAGGACCCTGGCATTTTTGGTAACACATGAAGTATGGACATTTGCTGTAAGAGACATGGGACCCTGTTCCTATTGCACATGTAATCAAGAGGTAAATGCCCACTAGTGGCTTATACTGGTGTAATTCCTGGTTGCCCATGGATGTGTTTTTTAAAAGAGGCTGTGCAAGGAGATATCCAGTACATAACTCCTTACACAACACCTTTGCAAGTCCAACTGGAGCAGCTCTGCTTCCTTGTCCCAGCCCTTGATTGGCTATTGGAGAGTACCCAGGTACTGTCCAGCTCTCTTTTGTTTATCTGAGAAAAAAAGCAGCAGTCATTGCAAGTGTGAACAAGTTGTAAAGTCTATGGTTTTTCTCATGTATGCCTACAGGCAGTCAAACTACACCTGGAGCATCCTTACAGCCAGTTAGTAGCCTGGAGCAGGTGTAAGAATTTCAGGGAAGAGTTCTTGCTTCATGCATTTTGTGTAAATTGTTTACATGAAATCTACAAGCATGGGAGTATCCTTCCTGCTGTGAGGCATGCTGGAGAATTTTGTTTGGTGTGCGTGTTTAAACAAACCAATCTGCTTGCCTCACTCTAGACTACTGTGGGGATCATAACAGAGTTTTCCTTTGCAATTCCACTTCTCTGAATTTTGCACTCCACTTGTTTTGGCTCCAAAATCACATACCCATTTGTCTGTACAGTGGATCCTTGATATCCACTGGGTTTGGTTCCATGACCCCATGTGGATATCAAAATCCATGGATGCTCACTTCTCATTATATAAAATGGCACAGTAAAAATATGTTCCTTGTATAAAATGGCAAAATCAAGGTTTGCTTTTTGCAATTAATTTTTTCCCCAAGCCGTAGTTGGCTGAATCCGTGGATGCAGAATCTGTGGATACAGAGAGCCAACCGTTTTTGGCAAAGATATATACAAGCATATTTATTAAATGAGATACCCACCTGTGAATAC